TGTTTGCTTTCGATGGGGTATTGGATCCTTCTACACCACAAGACACGGTCTACGACGTGACGGCTTCTTCTCTTCTGGAGCAATTTTTGAAAGGTTGGTTGTCAAACGCATAGTCGGAACATTCAAAAGGATTATGACGCTTTCTGTTTGTGAAATGCGCTTTTCAAAATTTTCTCACCTTCACAGCTTCGCTTTGATTCGAACAATTTAGGCTTTAACTGCACGGTGCTTGCCTACGGACAAACAGGAAGCGGCAAAACATATACTATGGGAACCGAGGAGACTACGAATAGCATGACGAGGGATACTAGGGGAATCATTCCACGATTGGTGGATGCGTTGTTCCGACAAATTTGCGAGTGTGGTTCAAACATCAAGTTTCAAGTGAGTTTTTGTTCTAATTATGATCAGTCTTGGACTTAGCATTTTATATGTTAAACCAGACGCGTTTTTTTTATATCAAATATATTTACAGGAAAAAGGAATATGTTTTTGTTTAAGAATTTTTCAAATATCATAGGTAGCTTAAACATAATTTCTTTTTGCCTTCACTCACGAAGCTTATAGAAGTTCGGATAGATACTAGGCTAATATCATTTGTGTGACTGATACATACAAGCTCGTTTACAGAAAAACAGTGAGAATCTGTTTGACAGCTCGTGATTTCCCCGCATGCAAGAATTTTCTTGCAGAGTTTGATTTCGACGAATCTAACTATTCAGGAAATGTAGATGTTTCGTAAAATAACATCCACCTGCACAATATGGATTATACCACCTTACATTTTCTTTTTGAGATACCCTTTGGTATGTGTGAACTTCGCGTTATCTAATTTTTGATTCTCATTTCTCGTCTCTAAGCATCGATGCCACAGGTAAGTTTGTAACATCTGCATCTAACAAGGCATAGAAATGTTTGGTTTCCTTCTTAGATTTAAGTTGTCTAGTACTTTCAGTTCACTTGCCATAGATATTTTATCTTTAACCATTGATACCAAGCATTATCACTTCCCTCTTACAGGTGTTTGTTTCAATGCTGGAAATCTATGATGAGAAAGTTCACGATTTGCTGTGTCCATCAAAAGAGCCTCTTCAAGTGCGAGAACAGAATGGAATGGTCTTTGTAAGTTTTAGCTTTGCTCTTTCATTCATATGTAGCAGGCGTACCTCTTCAATGGTACAAGTTCAGGTACAAGGATTGTCAAAAAGCAGAGTGAGTAACCTAGTTGAAACGATGGCTCAACTCGAGAAAGGAGGAGTCTTGCGAAGTAAAGGCGGGACAGCAATGAACGCACAGAGCAGCCGATCTCATGCAATCTTCACTATAACTCTGGAAAAGTCGGACATTAGTGATGAGTAAGTCACCTGATGTTCGTGACCTAATGAATTAGTGTAGTTTTACTTTTTTAGGCAAAGTTGTTTCACAGCGAAACTGCACTTGGTAGACCTTGCAGGATCCGAAAGGTTGAAGAAAACCCAAGCTGAAGGCACTCGCATGATGGAAGGCATTCGTATCAATGAAGGTCAGTGTTAATTTTTCAAGTATGTAGGGCTTTTGTAAGATTTGAAAATGTCCTTCTCTTGAAT